TAGTGGTCGTAAAGGTACTAGAAAAGGGTTATAGGTTGAGTTTGAGGTGGTGAAGAGCTCATAGCAATGGGGATTTTGCAATAAAAGGGTTGTAGCAAAGGTGATTCGTGACGACAGTATCTAGGGTTAGGGTTAAGAAGTTAGAAAATTGTTTAAGAGCTCTAAAATAATGAGCTCTAATAGCTCTAAAAATACTGTAGCCTCAATTGATGTGATGTTTTACTCTTTGTTTTTTTTTTTAAAAAAAAATTTCAACACTGCCAACTCATTAGAGCTGGCTTAGTGATTCTTTTTTAGTGGTATGTAGCACCACTGTAAGAAGTTAGGACTTTGGTGAAGAAAATAATAACATTTTAGTTATTTTATTTTAAGACAAAATTGTAATAAAAAAATTATATCATTAAATGTATAAACAAAGAGAAAATAAAATGTGGAAATAGAAGCTCCCCATCTGTCACGATCCAAACTCGGTATCCAAAGATTCGGCGTCATAACAAGATAAACATAAAAAATTTCAAATAATTTTGTAGTCGTAGCAGAAGCGGTTAAATTAAATAAATTAAAATAAAATAATTAAGTACCAAATGTTTAATAAAAAGAAACAAATATAGTCATTTGAGCTTTATTATACTACAAGAGTCCGGTAAAAAAAAAGAAGATAGAAATTAAAAAAAAAAGGAAATAAAAAAAACAATACAGTGATTCATTCCCCATCTTGATCTCGCAAAATCTCGTCACTTGAAAAGGGTAACAGCTATAAGTACATAACAAAGTGAGAAATATTATACTGTAAGTATAGGGGCACAAAATAACCATGGATAGTTATTTAAGCTAAAACATTTAAGTTGCATAAATAAATTATTTAAGTGACAGGAATTGAAATAAAAATTACGTAAATAACTATAACTACGGTACAGAACAGAACATGGTCACTGAAGTAACAATCAGGATATGGGTTAATGGATCCATGACAAACAGGGAACCACAAAGTGGTCAAACAGGGGCCAATAGTTATTTTAGGTCCCTCAAGACATGAGACTTCCGTGATGGTACTTACAGAAAATAATCATTTACAAGATCATTGTCAAATAATTTCTAAAATTGAAACAAACATATTCATGAGTTTTAATTTAAACAAATAGAATTCAGAAAATAATCCACATAATTGAAACATTAATATAACCATAAAATATAAATTATATAAAATAAATTATAATAACTCAAAACACATAAAAAAAAATATATTATAATAATTCAAAATATAATAATATAACTCACATTTGTCATAAATTTATCCCTATTCCCCGTGCTCACGCCTCCCTTGCTATGCTCTCCTTACACTTCGTCTTTGTGCTCTCTGATTCTACTTCACTTCACAATTTATACCCCAAGCTAGAAGGCGTACACGCAAATGACTTCCCTCAACGCCACCTGTCATTGGCCTTTAATTTGTTTTCCCCCTATTGCTATCTGTCTCACCCCTTAGCTTTTTCATCTCTACGAATTCACCGAGGGAAAGTTGACCCTTGGCCCACACTGAAATTTCCTCTTTTTCAACTTTCTCCATTTTTTTTTTTTTTTTTCAATTCTAAAAGTTTTAATTCCTAAAATTACCTATAAATATACGTTAGTTTCACGTCTAAAAACCTTACTATCAAATTATAAAACACCACTGACTACTTACTAAAATATTTAACGTGTAGTGTCTCACAATTTATTTCCTTAACAATTTAATCGATTAATTCCCAATTTCGTAAACTATGTATTTATTTATTATTATTATTATTATTATTATTATTATTATTATTATTATTTATTGATTTATTAATTTATTTATTTATTTTTTGAGTTCTATTTATTGCCATATTAAGACTAGATTTTGTATAACCTATATAATCCATATTTTTATCTTTTTTTTCATCACATCACCTCTCTACTTTTCTGCACATCTTTTCGTGAAAAGACAAAAAATATACTTTTTTAAGACACCCCAAATCAACCCTAAATTTAAAAACATTGGGGTGTCACACCATCTATATGGATTATATAATGATTTCATTGGTTCACTTTTCAAATTTTAGTTTTTGTCTAAGAAAAGTTAAAATTAATTTGAAAAAGTTAAAAATTTAAAAATACCCATCATTTTCATATAATTTTTTTATTTTTATCAAACAAACCTCAAATACATTTTGAAAAAATAGACAACAAATACATTTTTTTTAAAAATAGATCATTCATTTTTTAGAAACAAACACAATAAAATGAAAATATAAAGATTATATAACATACATTGAAGGCTCTACAAAATAAAAGGGTCGAATCATCGAAACAAGATTTATGGTTGGCTCTACAAGCCTATCAAGTTCTCTTATGTTGAAATGTGAACATAAGAAAAGTCTAACTCATAAATAAATTTTGAAATTGTTGAGCGGTTCTTATGTTGGGATCTCAGCATGAGAGAACTTGAGGGATCTATAGAGCCCACCATAGGTTCCGTTATGATGATTTGAACCGTTCACTTTCTAAGACTCATTGAGTATAATATTCATACAAAAAATAAAGATGATCAAATATCAGTAACTATATATTTGAATCAAAATTATATTATAAAAAATAAATGGTTATTCTTAAAATTATATTTGTCGTCTTAAAATAAATATGATTTAAATATATAATTATCGATATCTAATCATTTTAATTTTTTTATATAAAAATTATACTCAATGAGTCTAAAAAGCGAACAATTTAAATCATTAAATTTGATCTCAAAATAAATCTACAAAATCTAAATACTATCTTAAATTGAAATCCCAACTTAAGGAAAGGGTGAAAAGTCAAAAAAGTAATTCTTATCTTGGTTTGAGTTTGATAACCGACAACACTTTGTAGTTAATGAATGCAAAGTTGAAGTTTAGATTATAGAAAGTGGTGGGTGTCTCGTTCACTCAATGAATTAATCATCTTTCGTGATGAATTTTTTTATTTTGTTTCTTCTCAACACAAAGTTCATTAGACAAATCATCAATTAGTAAAAGTGAATTGATATCGCTCTGTCTGGTCAATTTTTTGCCAACTCTTTCCATTGGCTTTTGGTTCTTTTATTAGCTTTTGGATTTATTAAATTTTATACTTTTAAATTATTATCAAATTATCTATTTAGTTCTTAAACTATCGATTGAGTCTACTAAATGCCTAAATTATATAAATTAAAATCTATTTAGTTCATAAACTTTTGATTCAATCTATTAATAAGTGCCTAAAATATTTAATTCAGATCTATTTAGTTTCTAAAATGATTACAAAAATAAAATATAAATTAATAAGTATTATAAATTAATAAAAAATCCTATCTAGTTGAACTTTATTTCAAAAAAAATCTTAAATTTTTATTCTTTCTTTTGAAAAGTGAGAATCGGTTCTTACAGTGAATTTCCTTTAAAAAGGTATGGGTAATTATTTATAGTATTCTCTTACTTATTTTCTACAATAGCTACGTGCTTGCCTTTATCTAATGTTATATATGCCAAATTTCATTTATAATTGATTATTTTTTAATTTTTCGCTAATTTTTTTTTATAACTTAGTTAATGTATTATTCTATTATATTATTATTTATATCGAAGTATTATTATTTAAATTATCTAATTATACTTTTTCAGTAATACTCATATAATTTTATTGGTAAAACTGATAAATCAGACTCTAATACTAATTTAAACACACAATAAAATAAAATACTTTTTAAAGCCAAAATAAAATTTTAAAAATTTTCTGTAATAAAATCTTAATTAAGTAGGATTTTTTACTAATTTATAATTTTTATGAGTATATATTTTATTTTTGTAATCTTTTAAGGGAGTAAATAGGTTTGAATTAAATACTTTATCAACTTAATAAATTCAATCAATAGTTTAAGGACTAAATAGACTTTAATTTATATACTTTAGGGACTGAATAGATTCAATTTAAAAATTAAATAAATAATTTGATGATAATTTAGGAGTAGAAAGTATAATACTCTTACCTTTTAATTTTGAATTACAATTTTCAAAAAAAAAATATATATATATATATAATTCACTTTCTCGTTGTGCTTCATTAATGATCTAAAATGTATAACTTTAAACTTGGGCAAACTATACCAACAATCCCAGTAGTTTGGTATTTGTATCATTTTAATTTTTAATCTTTTGATATATTTAATCTTAAATTTTAAATCTCATTTTAAATAAGAACAATTGAAGACACCATTATTCTATTTCAAGGTCATCAATTTGATAAAATATAAATTAGTTCAATAAAAATAAATATCAAAAAATTATTTTTAAATTTTTAAAAATTATTTCTACCTACTAAAAATAAAATTATATAAAAATGATAAATCTTTTATTTTTTTTATTTTTTTACCAAATTAGTTTTTAGTATATTTTAGATGATGATCATGTGATAGGTGATTGTTTTTGTTGATATTTTTAAATAGTTATTATGTAATGGATAGTTATATTTATTGTTAATTGATATTTTTAGATAATTATCATGTAATGAATATTTATAGGCTTTTAATGTGTAATAGATATGTTTAATATATGAAATACTTTTAGTTTTAAATTTTTTGATTTAACGGATTGATTTAATAATAATATCAAAATTGATTGACTTTTAAAAAAATAAAAACTAATTTAACAAAAATAAATATAGAAAAAATTTATTTAAAAAAATTATTTCTACCCTCTCAAAAGATAAAATTATACAAAAATAAATGTTGTTTTAACTTTTTTCACTAACTTAACTTTTAGTTTCTTAGAAATTTTTTTGCTGAAAATAGATTTTAAAAAACAAACCAAACAAAACTTTACAACCAAGAAAATTCCAACATTATTCATTAAAAACAAGATCGTTATATTTCAAACAACATTTTAATTAATCAAGTTATATAACGAATTCGCCCATAAAATAAACCGTTTGCAAAGAAAATATTTTGATTCCCGGATACAAGCATATATACAACTCCACTAATCAATAACTACATGCATATGCCAATACTTTCCTCACGTTGACAGGTAAAATTCTAAGAAGATAACCAAAAAAATTTCAAAAAGCTGCTCGATTAAATCTACACAGAATCAACTGAACTAGTCATGAATTACGACTGCAAGGCCACCATTTTCATCCCCACAAATACTTACAAATTAACAATCTATGTGCTTTTGGCTCTCCCTCTGTAAAATCAATCTTGGAGGCACCACACCATCTCAGTTCCTGCCAAGTCACAGAGTGACGAAAGAACCAGAGTCATGTGACCAGCTTCATCACCAGCACAGTAAAGAGCTTGAGCTGAGGAAGAATACAAGGAGGGTGGTGGCTGCCGATGATGTTCTGTCAAGTCAAAGCTTATAGAAAAGAAAAGAGAGAAAAAAAGTAGTTTTCGATCAGTTAACTGCACATATGAAGCTAGATGTTTGTTACAGGAACACCATGAATTGTCTTCCCTCCCATGTTGCATCATTTGAAGCAGTCTCTCTGGAAACTAGAAGTATTCTGGGCAAATCATAAGTTAGAATCACAGATCAAGCGTGTAGACATTACGCCCTTTCATACTTGAAGACAATGGTCCGTGTAAAATAAATAAATAAAATAGAATAAAATAAAACAGAAGAACTCTGCTCGGCATTTTAGAATTGGGCCATTAAGGCACCATCACTATACACTTCGGCAAAACAACAGACTGCAACTGTGTATGCCTTTTAACATCTTTGCTTAAATTTTCCAATAACTCGAAACTTACATAAGAAAAAGTTACAGCAACTGTGCATGTGTGCAAGCCACCAACGCTATTGCAAAGAAAAAGATGCAGAAAGAAAGGTACAAGAAAGTAGAAACTCAGTTGAAAGCGACAAGAAACTCACAACTTGAGATATTCCATCGAAACACACACTGCATGGAAGACAGTACAGATTAACAAACATGGGGGCAGTATTTTCAACCAGCAATTCACTACCATCACAAAATACAAAAAACAAAAAGGTTCAAAAATCTTTTATTCAATGAACTGCAATTTTATCACTCAGATCTCAATAATATGGAGCAGAAAACACCGTAGGATCATCAGCTGTATTTGAACATTTTAATTGCCTGATCCTAATTTCTTTGGGATAAATCCAGAGGCAATGGTAACTATTCACTGAAAATTTCACATAAAGTCATAGTCATCATAACCATCATAGGCGGTGACAACAACATCATCATCCGGCTTGTCAACATGTAGCTGTTTCTTCTTTGCACCTGCAGGCAAGGAAGGACCAACGAAGAACCCAATACCAGTAAGGTCACCTTTGACATATATTAAACACGTTACGAACATCATAAAACTACACTCTGTAACTAATCTAAAAGGAAAAATTCAAAAGTCAGATATTTCAAATGAAAAATCATGGCACAACATGAACAATGCGTCTTCAGCAGAAGTTTGTTTGCAATGCAGCATTTCTCCCAACCTGTCACCAGCCTACCTGTGAAACTACTGATAGTTGTCCTTCCACAGGGCATTACGCAAGTTTTTAAAATTTAGAAATATTTAATGAAAGACAAATAAGAAATACTCCTGACCTACAATAGAAAGCCTAATATATGGAAAGTAGAAAACAATGAGACTAGTGTATGGTCAACATAAGCTAGCAAAAGATGGTTTTCATTATTTGATTTAATTGTTTTGGCAGGCAGTCTGAAGTCTAGAAATATAAGGAAGCTTACCATTTTTTGGGTCCCTGAGAGCAGCATTCAAATTTTATTATTGAGATGTAAAACAAAAAGCTCAAGACTACAATATATAATTAATACCAAAAGTGCAATACAATTCCCATCCTCCAATTTAATTCATTTCAGAGTACTAGTACTACTTTTGGGGTCATCGACAGGAACCCAATTCACACATATTTAGATTTAAATTTCAAAAAAACAAGTGATCGACACATTCAAAACACTTTCTAGAAACTAGTGGGGAGTCAGAACATTGCTTGAGTGAGGGTCAAAATATATTCTTGCACATTTAGAGTTTTTAAAACCTTATTTATCCAAACTTAAATTTATTTTCCAAGGAAATCGTTGGCACCAATGTAATGAGACTTCAGAAACTTCAAGTTACAGAAATCAAATAAATAAAACTGTGTGCGCCAAGTAAGATACATGAATGTAGCCATGCACAAGCTTATGGATTCAACCAAATGATGCAATCTCGCTTTTTGTGTCCACATAGCAAGAATATCTGGCATTGCTTTATCCTGAAGGATTGATCTTTCCATAACCAGGATGGAACTTGGGTGAAACCTAGTGTTCCAAACAAACAGATGTTGAAGAATTGGTGGATGAGTTGCGGTTACGGATAAAATACCACTCAAACCCAGAGTTAGCTAATTCTCCCTGAAATGCATTAAAGTATTCTGTACTTTGATTTCAGGATGGAATGTGTAGTTCCAATTACATTTCACAACTCTTATCGAACAACTTTTCATGCTTTATCCCTCTACATCCAAATCCAGGCAGTTTCAAAAAAGAAGAAAATTACATTTGAAACTGGGTTGAAACCCTGAGTTTCTACAGCAACTAGAAAATATAAATTACCTGACTTCTTTTTGCCAGCATTGGCTTCCTTCTCTGCTTTTAGCTTTTCATTTGCAATTGCAGTAATAGATGAGGCAACCTCCTTTGCATCTGCCGCTTTCAAAGAAGTCATTGACAGTCTCATTACAGCCTTGAGCAGTCCAATATAATGAAAACTTTTCTACATTGGAGATTAAAAAAAGGCCAGGTAAATCTGGAACCACTTTTTATCATCAAGTGACACACACGCACAAACAAAACAAAACCAAAAAAAAAAAAATAAATAAAATTCAAGCCACCTCGTATGGTTGAAGCTTATGAGAAATGAGTTCAGCATATTCTAAGAAATCACTTTCGGATTTGGGAATGAAATCATCAAGGGTCTTCTCATCACCTCTTCTATTGAACAAGTCTCTGGTGGACTTAAAATCAGCTTCTTCCACAAGCCTGTTCAAAAGAGAAAGAAAACACAGCATAAATCTCTCATGTACCAGAGACAAGGCAAAAGTCAAATGTCTAAGAAACTCATAAACTACATATCAAATTGTCCAATGAGATCAACAAAGTTAAATGAGTTCTGCTGTGATCAACCACAGTATCACACGAATTAAGGTTTCAAACTTCACATGTAAAATACTAAAGCTGAAACAATGCAGAAGTCATGCAAGAGAAAACTTAGCATTGTAATCAATATAGTAGAAAATGTTTTTTATGGCCTTATTCCCACACAAAAATCTTAATGGACATTGTAGGCATACTGCTCCAATAATCAAACGGACTAATTGAAACATAAAAGTACATATGATCAACCAATCATCAGAGCAAGCTCTGCAACAGGATAAGCACTAATAAGAACAAAGCATATGGCAAGCTAAGAACATGACTCATTTTTGTAGTGTAATGAATTAGGAATCATCAAGTATGGATTAATAATTCAGATTGGAAGACTAAGATACACTCTTACAGCGAGTTCATAAATTTATGACCAAAATTTCAAGTCCAAAAATGCCGCAGAAAGCAAGCACAGAAGAAACTCTAATGTTCAAAACTCGAAGTGGTTCAAGTTCGTGATGTGGACTCATGTTCTCTTAGAAAATGACTCCCTTCTGCCGATCGACGCTTTTGATTATTAGACATACCAAGTGAGAGCATCCAGATAAAAGATGTTAAGGCAAGTGTAACGTCACCAAGTGGCTTCTATTGGGACATCCTTCACCTTCACCCAAGGACCACTTACTTGAAGAAGATTAATTAGCCAAGCAGGAAGCAAACAGTTAGAAGGTTTTCTTAGAGCGTTTTGCCAACCAAAGTTTGCTAGATTAATTAGACATTAGACCAGTATTTATCAATTTGTCAGGATTTAATTTCTTGCTTTACTGCAGAGATCTACCTTCCCTTGCCGGCGATCCTCTTTTTCTTGCAATATCTTGTAATTATTCAAATTAAATAAGTAAAAGATAAATCTTTTGAGTCTTACAACGCACAAGAGGGGGAGAGTAGAAAGAGGTGTGTTCATTTGGCATAGGATAGCCATAGAAGTGCAGGACAGATTTACGAAAATCTATACAACACGATTACCCCTTTTAGCATAAAAAAGATAGCAATACCATTGACAAGTCAAGGTCAGCTTAACCTAGGATGAACAAATCAATAGTTAAGATGGGATTGCAATTCATAGGCAGTTTAATTTTTGCAACAGGCAGAATATTTAACCAAACTCTCATCCACTACTTTGATTTGCTCAAATTTATCAACCTTATTATCCTTTCCCTTTTGTAGTTTCCTCAAGGTCCACAACAATCTCAACTAGTTGGTACTCATTATGTTCAAATTCAACATGTCGTAACATTGGAGTTCGAAGTTGAATTAGAACTTGAGTGGTCTACTTCTCGAGTTAAATCTGATTTAGGAAGATTCTTACCCAGAAGAGTAACAACAATATCCTTCAAAGTACTCACATCAAAACTAGTGAAGCTACCTATCATTCACTTGTGCCTAAGTTTAGTTATGCCCTTATGGTCTTCAATTATAGCTTGCAATTCTAAATTCAACTTGGCCTTCATCACCGCTGCCGTAGAAGATCAACTAGATGAAACAGCAGGTAGGGAACAAAATAGCCTCTTCTGCAATGATATCAAACTCATGTAGGACAGTTTTAGGAAAAACAATATAAAGCTCCCTACACTTCGTTTTGTGGTGGGTTTGGGGTTAGAAAGCTGCTGGTGGTGGAGATCTAAAAGGTAGGAGAGAGTTTCTAATGATCGTAGAAAATAGTTGTGAGATTTGGCTTAATTTCCAAAAGGCAGATTCTTGGAGTTTCAAAAGTTGTGTTGAAGCTTTGGGCAACAACTAAGTATGAATTAGGCTTGATTTGTTAGGACTTAGGATTCCGGGATTGAAAAACCAAAGTTGTTTTTTAATTTTCAAATTTTGTGTTAGCACAAAAATTGGAAAAGATATACAATCAGGGGTGTAGTCAAAATCTGATTGTTTTGTTTCCAAAAACATGAATATGGAAAACAAAAAAAAGCAAAGAAAATGAAAACAAAACCAAACAGGCCCTAATTATCCAATGTACAAAGCATGATCCACCTAAAATTCCACAATTGCCCTTGCTCTTCTTCACACACCACCACAACATGAAGACTAAAGTGAAGTATTCCCGACTTCTTCACATTGTCCCCACCAGCAGTGCATGAACATGACAGCGCCTTAAAGGCAAAGATGGACTAGTGCAAACTCTAGAACTATTCTCCATTCACAAATTTTATTATGCTTGGGGTGGTCAAGAACCTGGTCCACTGATCTCACTTATTGGAAAGAACGAATTTTTTGACAAAACACAACATAAGATATAGTTGACCAGCCAAACTGACATAAATTACTTCTTCACCACTTTACCAATCATTAGATTAATGTCTGTTTGGTTTGGAGTTCAGAATCTGTTTTCTAAAATTTTTCTGAAAAAATAGAAACTGGCTTGACAAAAATAAACACCAAAAATATTTTTCCTTTTTCAAAATTTATTTTCACCCCCAAAATGATAAAATCAAATTAAAATGATAAGTTCTTTTTTGTTTTTTTTCAGCATATTTGTTTTTGGTTTTTTTGAAAGTTTTTCAGAAAAAACATGCAGAAAACTAAACCAAACAGAATTTTTTGACAAATTAGTTTTCTGGTTCTCTTCCTCTAACAAATTTATCTAAATGTCTAAACATGACCTAGCTAAAAACAAGAAGAATGAAATCAATATATTTCACCTTTCTTGGCAAAGTTTTTCTACCAGAGGATCCAGCGGCACTTCCTTCACTACAACAGTTTTTCCTTTCTGTACATTTACTTTTGCACTTTTCTTCTTGGGAACGTTTTCTGCAGGAGGTGCAGGTACAGGTACAGGTACAGGTGCAGGTGCCTGATCATATCCCATGAAAAACAACAAATGATGATGCACCAACAAAAGCAAATCAAACCACTGCTTATGTGCAGCATGAATCAAGCTTCTCAGCTCATGATAATAAAGGTGTAAAAATTCGCTGCACAAGGCAATTCATAAATACATATAAGTAGAATGCATATGCCTAGCATGCTGATATGTTAAGTTCAAGCAATCCATGAGATATTTCCACACATTAACATTCTGGAACATAAGTTGATCAACAATTTAGATGCCTGATAAATAGAGCATTCGGGCCCATTCAAAGTCTAAAACCTAATCAAAGTAATACATTCACACACCCTCCTAGGAAATACTTAAGGATCATCAACAATCAGGATGAAATTCATTTACATACATCAACAATCACTTAGCTGCTGTACTATGATCTAGGACAGCTCGATGTTACATCATTTTGTCAAGTGGAAGAAAAATATATGGGTTCATAAAATAAAATAAAAAAACCTGCTGATATTTGAAGGCATCAAGAGGTTGAGTATTTGTAACATCAACAATCACTTAGCTGATGGACTATATGATTTAGGACAGCTCAATGTTTAAGCATTTTGTCAAGTGGAAGAAAAATACACTGGTTCATAAAATAAAAAATAAAAACTAAAAACAGCTGAAATTAAGCCATCAAGAGGGTTAAGTATTTGTAACATCCGAATAGAGGTTTACAGGAAGAAAAAAAATTCAAGATTTCAAGTATTTTGTTCTCAACAAAAACCACAACACACACACACAGGAGTTACAGCGTGAGCGGATCAACAAATCAGGAAAAAGCCACAAAATCGAAGAGGGAAATGTAGACTCACTCAAGTTCTTATCGAATCCAAAGTCAATTAAAAATCAGGTTCAGCTCAATCCATAGTCATTCTTTGGTTTTGTATTTTTGCCCCCTCCCCCATGCAGGCCGTGAATAGTAACCCAAGAACAGTAACTAAGGCATGTGCGCAAAGAAGAAGAAAGAGAAGAAGTAGCAGTAGAAGTAGAAGAAGAAGAAGAGAAAGAAAGAGGAGCTTCATCCTCACAAGGGTTTACGCCAATCACACAAACACAATCTCAAATTCTCATAATATCAACTCTTTATTTAGTCATTAAGATTACACATATTTGAAGGCGAAAGAATCTCCTATTTCTATAATGACTATGCGTCAAATTTAGAAACTAAGAATATTTAGTAACTGCAAATATTCTAGACTAATTATGATTATGACTTCCAATTCTATTTCAGCTATGATAGAAAACTTTGATAACTTCTACTTCTACTCCAACCATGACACATTCAAAATAGGAAACTTTTGACATTTTTTACCACTAAGACTATTTTAGACATAACAAAACCTACATATAACAACCCATTTAATAACTTACCCCAAAATAAAAACCCATAGGCAAACCCTACAACTCATGTCCAACAAATATTGAAATTACCATAATACCCTTACTACTAAAACCTACTATAATTAGAATGAATTCAAATAAAGACTCAAAATTATTCCAAACTTCAATCCATAATCTCTTAAACGTGCTTCATCTGAAATTTCAAATTTGCCCTTTTTCTTCTTTCCATGCTCGCCATCACATATTGCCACATATTTAGGAGGGCAAATTAATCTAATGAGCACACAACTAAATTGGAATGGCTGAAAATGAAGTTCAGTCATTTAACACCTACTACAAAATTACATGTTTTAGGTATGGCTACATTATCTCCACATCTTCACTAGCTATGATAACTTATCTCCACATCTAATAGAACAAAGAAAGTTATCAACATTTTAATAAACCTATAAAATAAAACATGCTATCAACATTACCAGAACAGTTTCTTCTTCATCCTCCCAAGAATCCTTCACATCATTTTCATCCACATCTTCCTCATCCCAGCTATTCTTCAGTTGCTCCTTTTTGAGAGGAGGTAGAATTGGCTCGTCCTCTATAACAATCACAAGTAATTCCCAAAATCATTACTTTTCTCATTCTTCCACAAGAACAATTAAGGAAGATAAAAAGAATAATAATAATAAAGGTCACAAACATATTTTAAGAACAATTAAAATCTTGAAGGCAAGTTGCCAAAAATCATGTTCCTGCATCAAGGTTCCACAAAAAATCATCAACATCAACTAAATTTTTAAACCTTGCTTCTTTGTGAATGTTCAGGCTCTAAGTGCCGTATACGTGTAGGTTTATATCTAGTATCAACTAACATCTAATACAGAGCACATCAGCCATTTACATCACTTGCTTATTTTAAAACTGGGATAGACATATTTCAGAGGGCTCAAAACCATTTTTTTGCAAACCCAAAGGTCTGTTCATGCTTCCTACAAAAATAAATAAAACAAAAACTGCAACAGATTTAAATTCATTTTACAAATTACAAAATCACTACCACCTATTCATTTCCCTCCATCTAAATCCTAAGGATCAAGTATGTTCATTCACCCAGGAATCCACAAATGGAATTGTCAACTCTTCTATTATATAGTAAGGTAAGTACATAAACTAGCTAAGGTTTTACTTTATTTAACATTTTTAATTTTCTGTGGATATGAGGTGTCATGCCATTATGTGCAAAATGTATAAAGAGCAATAATAGGTAGTGTAATAACTAATAATGATTTCTTTCATAATCATATTCCTAAATTGCGGTCTGTTCTCCAGATTTTATGAATTTTGTAAAACTCTATTCTTTGAAGATTAAATTACAATAATATTATCCACAACAATATATTTCAATTGTCCTACATAGAAATTTTTCAACAAGAGATCACCCTAGCCTTAAGATAGATGAATTTGTGAATCAAAACCAGTATAATATAGTGAAAGAAATTCAAAGACAAAAAACTATCCACATTGACATGATATGCACTCAAAAAACAATAACCAATTTCACCTGCAACTCACGTATGAGTAAATCTTGTAGAATGTTAGATGCATCTGATTTGCATAAGCTAGTTTCATGGCACAAGCAAGCATATATTGAATTAAAATAGTCAACAAAAGAAAAGCCACAAAAGAATGAAAAAGACTTGACCCTTAGAGGTTTGCTACACTTATTGTTCTTCAATCATCCACTTGATCAGTTGCATATCTTCCTTAAAATCACGAGTAAACAGGAATTTTTCATACCTCAAGCCATGTGTTTTGGACCTAACGCTCTACAACTATGAGATTATTGGGCAGTTGTGAACAGGAATTTTTCATACCTAAAGCCCTCGACCCATGTGTTTTGGACCTAATGCTCTACAATTATGAGATTATTGGGCAGTTGTGAACAGGAATTTTTCATACCTAAAGCCCTCGACCCATGTGTTTTGGACCTAATGCTCTACAATTATGAGATTATTGGGCAGTTGTGAACAGGAATTTTTCATACCTAAAGCCCTCGACCCATGTGTTTTGGACCTAATGCTCTACAATTATGAGATTATTGGGCAGTTGTGAACAGGAATTTTAAAAAAAAACCACATTAGAGTGGTAAATTTAAAAATTTGTAATTATTTTTTCAAAATACTATTGAGTTGTAATTTTTCGTAATGAAAATTTAGTGAAACTAGGGTAAGTGTTTGGATTTTTTTTTTTTTTTTCATTTGTACTAGAGGTTTTTCAAAAAAAAATTTAAAAACTTTGCATTTTAGCATCTACTCGATTATATAGACCAAATAAGTTATTAAATTAAAATGGAAAATAATTAACTAAAAAAAAAGTGAACATAAGTTGGTGATGTTTTTAGATCATTCTACACTAGATACACAAAAAATGTAAAATTTTAGAGGCAAATTAAAAAAATAATAATAACATTCAAAAAAAAAAAAAAAAGACAAAATGTAAACCTGCTTTTGCAAATATGCAAACAAAGAAATGATTGGATAATGGACTTCAATGCTAGATGCAAAATATAACATAACATCAACAGCATAACTCAAACAAAGAAGAAAATAAGTTAGGAATAAAACTGTCTGCAGTTTGGAAAAAAACAAAAAAAAAATTGTTCTTTTTGATAAGCTAATATTTTCTGCAAATTTAAAACTTTGAGGAATCATTTTTCCCTCTCAAAGGAGAACTAAGGAAGAAATAAACTGTAAGAAAGGAGGGGGGGAAAAATGAACCAAAAATAAACAGAAAATAATCATATATGGTGAAGTTTATCAGAAAGTTCAACAAAGCATCAAGTCTTGCAAAAGTCCTCTCAAACACCCGCTTCCTTTAAGATGGGCAATGCTCCAATTACATGATTCAAATGTAATGGGCTGGATAAAAAAGAATCCTGCTCAAAAAAGCTTCACATTGTGACCTTATTTTGGGATTGGACTTCATTCATGAGCTTAACAAGTTCCTCTCTAGAATTTTCACCCAAGAGGCTATGACTAAATACCAAAAAGGTAGAGAATTTACCTGCCTTTAAACTCAAAAGAATAATGTCCAGTTGCAATCTTCTAGATGCAATTGAAAGGTGTAGATACAAGTGTCCGTCTTGGCCACATCATCTCCATGTCAGCTTACCAACAACATGTGTCATCCCCTAATAGACACGCAGTCTAATGACACACAGCCATGTGGACATCCTTGGACAAGCCAGCAAACCAAGGAAAGATTGTGCAGTACCTGATAGCTAGCACAACCGCTCGGTTCTCACTGCACATCTTGCCACGCGGTCCCCCCCTCTTTGAGCAGCCACCCAACAGCTGCTCGATTCTCAAGATTGATCTTTGATGCGACTCTCTAACTTCTTGATTGGTCTCAATGAGAACTATAAGCAACCATCAATTCACACTCCGTCCTAGAAGTGTTAACCTGGGTTGGGTAGCACTTTCATTGGGAATCACTAGAGAACTGTGACTAGGCGGCTAAAGTCAAAGGATCATAATGTTGCTTGGCTCACCCCAAGAGGTGGCCTCACCTTGACCAGTCTTAGAGAGCAGGGCCATGACCAAGGGGTTTAATATCTCCAACAATGTATCATACCTACCTCAACAGATATTATGATACAATCTCCCATGCTTATCACATTCACACCTACCCACTGTCATCTCCATAATAAATCTTCCAAGACCTAACTGTAGCAATGGACAGTTGAAACCTCCGGACTATCAAACCAAGGAAGATGACCCACTTATCCACGGTGAGCTGTCCTCCATGGTTCAACCCTCCTATAAAAGGGGTCCTCTACCATGTATGCAAGACACAAGCAAGCCCATCTCTCCTCTAGCAAGCTTGAGAGTTCTCCATTGCCACCCTCTCTCTATCTAAGATTGTTTTTCCCCACTCCTCCACCTTTGGTGATCTTCAACCATCTCAGCACCTACCATCTTCCTAGAGGGTCCATCACCAACCACCTCACCATCCTCCATCCACAAAGGGATGCCAAAATAGAAACACATGGGAACATAATTTCTAGGGGGACTTACGTGTCAGTCCTAATAAGTGGACTCATTGTTCAGTAAGTATTATGATAATTAATGGCATTTTTCATCAAATACTATTAAAAAAAAGTCACTAATTATTAATTTTTAGCGACAGTTTAAAAATTTTATCACAAAAAACGTCACTAAATTATAAGTTTTAGTGACAGTTTAAAAAAATCATCATAAAAAAGTCACTAATTTTCAACTTTCAGCGACAGCTTGAAAAATTCGTCACAAAAAAATGTCACTGATTAGCGAAAATTTATAAAAACTGTGACAAAAAAAGTCACTAATTGTCAATTTTTAGCAACATATGCAAAAAATCATTACAAAAAATTATTTTTAGCAACGATTTTACTAAGACTTATTTTTAATAGGACTTGATGGGAATTAAATCCAACTATTAGTACCTATTGTAGTTTACCCTAATTTCTATGATAAATTTGATCATGCCAACGAACTCAATACTTTCCTTCTTACTCACTTCAAGCAAGAAACAAACTTGGATCAAACCCTCAAAATTTCATTTTACCCCATTACACAAAACTTAGAAAAGAGAAGCCCCTGAAGAAGTAAAATTTGATGACAAAACCAAGCATGTAAGTTAACAATAATGCTAAAAGTAGGAATCAAATTTCAGAAGTTACCTATCCTCAAAAGGAATAGATAACAAATTGATGACCTAACCAAGCATGCAATGCTTGCCTAAAGAAACCAAATGAAAGCATCCGAAAATGCCTCAAAGGAACTCAAAAGAAGACCAGGAATTTCACCAATTACAAAACACCATGATACGAAACTAAGTGTGTTGCTCACAACATATGACAAAGAATTGCCAGAGAAATTAACTGTAAAAGTACACCAAAATCTAGGAAGACAACAAAACAACAACAAAAGACTTCTAAAAGGACCCTACCTAACTAAATACATTTAGAAATAGTGTTACTAATTTGGAGCACACATCACATCTCAAAAAAGAAGAAAAAATTCAATCCTTTGGTTAATCAACTCCTACAGAAGTAAGGGTTATGTTTTGACCAAATTACAATCACCCAAATAATCACTAGACTAAGGCAAGACAAGACAAAGAGAAGCATAATTTTCCTTTATTACTAGCAATTTGTGCAACCACACATGACAAGAAGCCCTCATCCCTCATAAAGTTGGATGCAATATAGCACAAAACTCTACAAAACCATCTTTTCTTCTCCAGCCAAACCATAGCAAATAAAACTTTGAATCTAATTTAAAAGTTAAATCATTAATCAACATCTCAAAAAGGCAAGAACAGAAAATAGATATTAAAGTAATTCATCTAAAGTGCATAATTTAAATAAACAAATCATACTTTCTACACCATAATATACTTACTGATGTTCTCAACCACATGGTCCACAAATTTTAAAATTCAGGATTATAATTTGGAGGAAAGCCAAGAGATTTTATAAGAGCGAAGTAAAAAGCACTAGGTTGAGAGAGAAGGGAAGAAAGAATAATTATTTATCTATATCTATATCCATAACCA